TGCAAGCCTGGCTTTACTTTTTTTTTTTGCAATATAAGAATAAAACATATTTATACCTCTGAATTTTTTTAGCTGTTTTCTGAGATTCGGGTATGCTGGCATGATGTTGCAGGGAGTTTACATTGATACAGTTCTCCCTAAAACAATATATCCAACTCTATTTGTCAGTACAGAGAAAATCAGATTGCTATGGTATTTACTTTGAAATGAATTTGAAAAATGCAATAGGTACAGATTTCACTATCATTCAATTCATATGGAAAACTTTCAAAAAAGTTTGCTTCTTTCATACTCCTTTCTTTCCTCAGTGAGAACCCAAACGTGTACCTTTTTCTCCCCTCTGTAATCTAAGACTTCAGCAATCATACTTCCATGGGAAAATAATTGTTTTAGAACTGTTCATTGCCCCCCCAAGTCTTCTCCTCACCCTTACAAAAAGTGACCCAGCAAGTACTGAAGGGAAGGAAGAAGAGTAACACATTCTCAGGATCACTATGTCCTTCTGAATGAATCTCTCAAGAAAGAGCATGTAAAATGAAACAGTGTAAAAAGAGCCACAGCCACAGAATGGTTTGGGAGCTCATAAAGGAAGTGTTCCCAGTTTTCTTCCAATTTCTGTTAAACACAATTGTTTACAGTCTCATCTACAGCTTGCCTCTACCCTGATGAAAGCCAGCCATGTCATACCAAAATAAAATAGGTTTTAAAAAAAAATCTTCCTTTTTTTCAGTCTTTTTGTATGTGTAGTAGAATAATTTCATGATTTCAGGCACATCTTACATTTAACTTCCTTGCCTGACCTTCACTTGTAAAGAAAAAAAAAAAATCACCTTTCTGAAATTTCATTTAAGAGCAAGTTTTGAGCAGTGTGCACATTTCTGAAACAAAGTCTAGCAGTGACATTTTCTAATAATGAAAAGTAAATCCCAATCCCATCAATGTTTCATATTTTCTAAATAGACTGATTATGTATTTATCTTAAAGGATTTCAAAACCTTTTTTCTTGTATTACTAAGTGTCAAAATTGGAACATTTCAAATGTCACTAAGTTATTATGCTAAGGAGTTATAATAATTTGTAGTTAATGACTGGAGTAATAGAAAAGGTCCCCGCTGAAAGGCTGAAAGAGGGGTTACCAGCAAAGTGTGGTAATTGGGAATACTCTAAAGAAACACTCCAAGAGTTGGACTTACAATGTTTTCAAAGCAAAAAGTATATTCAACATGGAAGAACATGTCCTGTAATTTAAGGTTTTTAAGGCTAACACTGTTTGCCTATGATATTGTTGGAAAGTACACCAGCAGATCATACAGTAGAAATCTGTCTTCAGTACCTGAGAACTGCCAAAGTTTTGTCTGGTTGTTACTACCAGTTAAAAGTACATGCTGTTCCAAGAAGGCATATAATTTTGGTTGAGAGTTTATTTGTTGGTTTAAATGGGGTGAACCAAACCAAAGAGAACAACTGAGCTGGAAACATTACAGGCATAAGAATTACTTGATAGCAAGATTTTCAGCTGTAAATATTGTTTAAATATTGCATGTAAACCATGTTATAACCAAACTGCTAGAAACGGGAACAGTCTAGCAAAACTTCATCTCCCAAGACAGGATTACAGAGCTCAAACATTGTCAATGGCGTGAAGAATTCATTACAGCTGGATGCTGACCTTTAAATAAACGTAATGAGTGCTTTCTTCTTAAATTTGTGTGATACCCAGGAGTAGACATTCATCACAAATGATCAAAAAAGAAATTTAAAATATTTTGATAATAAAGTGTATAAGAGAGTAAGGAATTTAGGGGACTTCCAAACAAGTTTAGATTTTTGGTTCTGTGGTGTCCCACTACTAACCAAAGCCTAGTTTTCATGTACTCATTTTACAATTAGAAGATGCTTGCCTTTTTTTTTTTTTTTTCCTTTGTGCTAAGACTGTTTTTATATACCATGCAAATAAAATCAAGCAAATCTGAACATTGAGTTCAAATATAGGGAAAATTGCAAGGGTGCCACAAAAGGTCAGGGGTGCAAAAAAAGAAAATAAATTGGCTCCTGCAGAAAAGTACAGCTGTCAAACCTAGGTTTGAAGCTGGTGTTTCTAAATTAGGACAGTAAATTTTTTGCTTCTTCCCTTACTAAAGGAGTTAGGCCTAACTAAGCTTTGTGTATACTTGGAAGATGAAGCAGACATTGTTGCTCCTCTTTAGCATTTCAGAACCATGAGTTGAAATGGCTGCCAATTTTTCTTATTTTTCTTCTGCTTAGCAATTCCTGCCCTAAAAGCAAGCACAGTCCCTGACACTCATTTGTTTACTTGTAATTTTTTTAAATTAGCTATTTTGGACACAAAGCAACAATCTTTAAAACTTTAGGAAATGATGCTGCAAAATGTGAAGGTTATGTAACATTGAAAAGATAAGGAAATGGAGAGGATATAAAAAAGCCCCTTCCAGGGTCAAGAAAGTGTACAATCTAGGCTCTGTGTGTGTGTGTTACTTGTGTTTTTAATTTAGAATAATTCTGAATCTTTTAGTTAACTGTTTATCTTAAGTGAGATAAATTACCAGCAGCATGTTATATTTGTGTTTGTTTCTGTGTCAGTGTGGACCACCTCCAATTATTTTAATAGCATGTGGAAAATGTCTTTTCCTGGAGAAGGGAGAGGGAAGAAGCCTGTAAGTAGACTTAGCTGATCAGTTTCAAAATTTACACTAGGGCTCTCTTCCTTTGTCATGTATCAAAAGAAAAGAGAAAAATCACCTACTTGGCTAACTTCAGCCAGTGCTTGCTTTCTTCAGAAGAAAAAACTATGGGCAAACTAGAGAAAGAAGGAAAGAGTCTAGATCTGTAACAGAAACATTTCATAGTATTTCATCACTTTAAAAAAGTACAAACACCACCAAGAATGATCTGACTGCAGTAAAAGATTTATCTACAAACATGATGAAAAGAATTACTGTGATTATTCTACCTGCTAAATGTTTCGATAGACTGATATAGATAGATATTGATAGATAGGTGGAATACATTCAACTTTTGGGGAGTGTACAGAAATAATTTGAACACATGAAAATATTTTGTCTCCTAGAGTTCCTCAAATTAAGTAACTTCCACTCTGATTTTTGAAATAAACCTGAATGATGATGATGATAATATAGCAAAAACTTGAGATGATCTTCACAAGTGAGATTATCATTCATTCAAGACAGTTACTTCTGCTCCTGTCAATGAATAATAGTACAGAATGAAGAAGTTCACATTACTGTCATAAGAGATCAACACTGAGCAAGATGGGTAGGGATCTCTAACAACACTAGCAAACGCAGTTCAGTAACTGGAAAACATAATACAATAGTTTTAAAAATAACAAAAAAACCCAGCCTGAAGTAAATTTTATTTGTTCAAGCAATTAAACAGTGTTCTAGTGCTGTTGGTTAAGCTTCATTGTCATAGGAAAAAAAAAAAATTAGTGCCTAAGCATTCATGAACTTTACTCCATTAATTACATTTCCAATAAAAAAGGTCTTTAATATAAATTGTTTCTTGAAATTAATTAAAATCCTAGAGACAGATTAAATATGCCCCTTATGTGCAGTACCTTTCTGAAAGTATCGGGAAAAGTTAATTTTCCCAAAAAATACTAGAAAGCATTGCTACTGAAATGTGGGCGACTGAAATATGAAAATAGCATGGGACAAATATATTTTAAACTTAAAATATCTCAATGTAGAATATTTTTGTGATATTTTAATTAATGGGCTCTAGTTTTTAAATGTTCTTCATTATAGAGGTAGAATAATTTTGGTAACCAACTAGAACTCCTTTAATATTGTTTGACAAGATGAAAGCCATAAAGGTATATGTATATACGTATACCTACTCTCCCCACCCATGCTCATAAAATACTTGATTGAACCTGGATTAAATTTGCAAGTCTAATGATCGGTAGCACTCATTTCCCTGGACATTCCTTACTTTCTTACTGAAAAGCAATCACTAATCAATTTCACAAATACTGCTTAATACAGTGATGCTTGAACCATCCAGTCATTAGCAAAAAACCAAAACCCTCAAACCAAAAACTACAAACTTCAAATCCCACCAAAAAAAAGGCAAGAAGAAAGACAAAGGGGTGGGGCAAAAAGAAAACCAGAAAGGG